AAAAGGCCGGGTTGTTCCACTGGGAAAACTCTGACCTCGTTGCATCTGCGGGACACCCTCCAGCAGACCCTTTGTGTGTGGTGGAAGACCTTCCGCATGGTGCCCGCAAAATCGGTCGCTGTGTCGATGGATGCCCACCGCGCCCCATGGCCCCGTGCAGATTGAAATAACCTGGATCTGTTCTGACTTGGGCAGCACGGTTTTTGTGGGAGCCAGAAATCCTGAAATCCAGCGCCTCGTGCATCGGATGTGTTTCAGCTTGCACACCTGTGGATGGAGAGGAGGCTGGTGGGAGAGCTGGATGCTTGCTCTTCAGGTTCAGCTATTCCGGGTCGCACAAGCCCGAGGCTTCGCTTGGCATCAGGAGTCGTGACCCCAACCCTCTTGGCTGGGTGCATCCCACTGGTGGGATCTCTCCTCTGGCTTTTGACCCATGGCAGGAGAGGCTACTCTTGATGGTCCATAGTCTAATTCTGTCCCTGGACCCCCCTTGCCCCACATCTCTCCAGGGGTGCGGCAAACGGGGAAGCAACACACAAGCGAGAGAGCTGCTCTCGGCCCTTCTTGCCCTGTAGCGCTCCAGGTGCCATCTTATTTGAATTGTTTAGCATGGCGTTCAGTCTCCCCTTCCTGGTGAGCTGGCTGCAGCACGGAGGATGCCACTTCCCCTCACTGCCTCTCCCTGCATCGGCCCCACGTTTCCTGGGAGTCTGTGGCAGCGGAGATGACGGGACGGGCATTTCAGAAGCTCTTTGCTGGCCCTTTCACAGCCTCAGAGGCAGAGGCAGGACGGAAAAGTTTGCCAGTAGCCCAGGGCTCTGGGGGACTGATCTGGTGCCTCTTTGGACCGGGGTGTCAGGCTCTCGAGCTGCATTGGCCCCGCCCAGAGTGTCTGCCTCAGGGCCACTTACTCCTTTCATCATGGGAGCACCTGGCTCGCCCCTCGAGGCCAGTCTCGTGTTTTGCTGAGCCGTGGCAGGTCCCCAGGACTTCAGCCACAGTCTTGCCCGTCACCTGCTGCTGGATCTCTCTCGGACCTGGGCTGGAGCTGGGACCTTCCACCTGCCAAGGAGGTGCCACACAGGGCCTGCACCAGGTTCCTGAGGGAAGTCTCCTTTCTTATTTGGCGGTCCCGGCGGAGGGTGCCGGAGCCCAGGGGCTTTCCCCTCCCCTGTCTGCAGGCCGTGCAGCCAGATGGGTCGCCTCGGAAGCCCCCCAGTGCAGTGATGAGACACCCTGCCTGGGAAGCGAGTTCTCGCTCAGCGTTGGAAAGGACAGAGATGAGCGGCCTGCAGAGAGGTTCCTGGGCAGCAGCTTTGCAGCAGTGGAAAGAAAAGCACGAGGCTGGTCATGAACAGTCACCCAGAGTTGCAGGCACTGGGGGAGAACCCTTTGGGCATCCTGCTTCTATTCCGTTTCCCGTGTTTGCTCTTGTTCCTTGAGCACCCACCCATCGCCTTTCCTTTGGCTGCATGTGGCGCTCTCCTGATTCCATAGACAGAATATTTGGGAATATCCTTCTTGGAAAAGCGGGGGGAATCCTGAGCAGCCAAGTTCTCTGCTCCATCAGTCAGGACGCCTGGCCTCCTACACTGCTTTCCCCGGCACTTCTGTTCCCTGCACCGCCATTTCTGTCGGAGAGGCCTCATCTGCTCCAGGTGCAGGAGCCAGCCGCTGCCTGGTTCAGGTGGTAAAGGTGGTGCCTCATAGGTGATACCCGAAAGAGCACCTGGCATAGGCAGAGCTTGCCAGTTTCGTGGGAAAGGAAGCATCAAGCCCCTTTTCCAGCGCTGCAGCCGGTGATCATCCAAAAGGAATCCAGAAGATGCTTGCGGAACGTGAAGAACCAGGTGGCTCTGAGTCAAAGCCTGCAGTTTCAGCCCATTTCACGGGAGCAGTGCTCCCCTGGCTTGGCTAAACCCCCCTTTTTAGGTGCCCAAGGCTCTTTTGCACCATGTTTCTCCACTCATGCAGGGAAGGTTAGCAAGGGGGTGGACAACTGCCCCCCGCATCTGGATCTCTGGAAGCTGAAGGGGCGAAGGCATTGGCGTGCATGTGTCAGCCCAGGCTGCTAAGTTGTTCTGGGAGGGGGGCTCCTTTGGCCACACGGGTGCAGCCCCCATCCCTTCCCATAGCTCACCTCGCCATCCGGCTCCGATGGGGCGCTGTGCCAGGGTACCCCTCCCTCTGCCCTGCTCCCCATTTCACATCCGCGGTGGGCCGGGCTGCGCTCTCTCTGTGGCATCTGCTGACACGCGCAACCTGAACTTTGGAAAAGCTGCGTAATGACTCAATAAAACTAGAAAACTAGAAGGTGATCAACAAGTAAAAACCGCTCATGCATACAAATGAACTCATGGGAACACGGCGAGTGCAGGCGCCCTTAACAAAAAGGGACGGGTGGGAAGCATCCCCAGGGAGAGAAGAAATCCTGCGGGGACAACTTCACCGAGGGTCCTGCCACCCCCCCCCGGCACATCCTCTCTTTCCTCCCCTCGGGCTCGCTCTTCTGGCCCCCCTGCAGCCCCTTTCCCCCTCCTTCCGCAGAGGTCTTCTTTACAGCCAGCAGGCCCAGGCGGGCTGCGACCGGAATATTGACTGGAACTGGCTGTATGGATGGCGCTTCCCCCGGCTGCACAAGAGCGTTGTGCAAATAGCGCATCCTCCACAGTCTGTACTGAAAAGCCTGTTCAGAAACGTCTGCTCGGCGTGTTGTTGCTTTTTGGCAGTCCAAAGCTGCTGCTTTTTGCCAGACTGGCATCGGGGTCCTGGGGGTGGCTTGCATGCCGTTCCCTTGGGCACCCCATCCTGGGCGCCTGTGTTCGGCCTCCGCCTCTTTCTCTCCCAGGAGCTCCCGGCCTGCCAGCCTCACTTGGGAGCACGCTTTCTGCTCAAGCGAGGCTGGTTTTGCTGCTGAGAGTCCCCCAGGTAGAATCAGGAGGGAAACACGCACTGGCGGAACGGCTGCTGGCGGGGCCGTTAGGAGCCACGTCTGGGCATCTGTCCACCACGAAGCCCCGTGCCGTTCCTCCGAGCGAACGCGGGGGGACGGTGGGGGGCAGGGGTGGGGGGGCGGAGTGTGCCTCTCTGCAAAAGCATTTCTCTCTCTCTAGCTTTTAATTGCTTTCTCTCACTTTTTATGTGTAAAAGATTGTCCATTTAATTAACTCCAAGAATGCAATTTCAAAAACACTAACGTTTTTACACATGATGGCTCTTAAAATAAAAGTAGCGTTCTAATATTGCGAACTGCTTTGCTTCATGTATTGCATTAACCTTTAGTTGGCAATTTTGGAGACAACAAACAGGCGCGAACATCTCCTGGTGAACACGCAGATTGCAAAAGATTCCCATTCCCTGCTCAACTGGTGGGAATCTCAAAGCTGCGACTGCTGTTCTTCTCTCAGTCAAAAGGTTTTGAAAGATGCCGGGAAGGCTGTTGCTGCTGCATTTGTTCCCAGCGACCTCCTTGTGTACGCATCCCTTGGTGTTTTCCTTCCAGGGAGCTTAAACTGAAGCACTGTTGAATCAGCAGCAGGCACAGTTCCCATTGCGGTCGGATCCTGTGCCAAGGTGGGCGCATAACATCCCGCCTTCAAAACGCACCTGCTTCTGCCTGAGAGAGATTCCCCACTGTATTTTCTGGCCGTGCAGCAAGGACTCTCGGCTCAAGCAATTGCATCTGCTCCATGTTTTCGAACTGGGCCACTTTGTGTGGCTCCGCAGAGACTTTCTTGTTTACAGACACAGCTCTGGTTTCCTGGTGGTCTTGGGATTTTCTTCTGATGGGAGTTGAACAAAATACTTTTAGAACCTCCAGTCAGTTTGTAGCAACTTTTGTCCACCTTTGGGGTTTTGGAATGGGAAGCTGGGGTAGCCATATGTTCATGGGGATATTAAAAAGTAGCGTGTGCATTTCGAAATCTGCAGCGAGAAGTATTGGGTGCAGGGGGGATGAGGAAAGGAAGCTGCAGGAATAGCCATCGCCCTTTGCTGGGGAAGGCAGAAAGGAAGCCGAACCAGAACCGGAAGAGGAAGTAGAGCTTGGATGGTGGGAAACGGCTCAGCTCCTTGGGGGCCTCGGAGAGTGTCTGGGGGCAGCAGGCGTTGCTCCAGGGAAGCGTGGCGCCCTGTCCACTTTTGCACGCCAAACTCCTTATGGCACCCAGGTGTTCTGGACCACAGCTCCCAGCATTCCTGGCCCTGCTGGGAGGGGATGATGGGAGCCCCAGTCCAAAACCTTCCAGAGGGCCTCAGCCTGTGGAAAAGCACTGCTGGGCCTTGGAGGTTCTGGCGGTTCTGCCTCAGCCCCGCCACTTTGGCAACATTTTAACAACTAATTGCGTAGACCTTTGTTTTGTATGTTTTGTTGTATTTTATTGTTGTTTGTAATGCGCTATGGTATTTATTATGTTTTTATTGTGTTTTTATCTCATGTGAGCCGCCCAGAGGTGCTGTGGCAGAATTGGGAGGCATGCAAATGTTTCAAATAAGGTGTGCAGCTGCATGCCCCGCACGAGGGAAGCCGGCGTCTTCGGGCCGCTTGGAAGGTTGCGTTTCCCTGCCTATATGGAAAAACGCGCATAGAAAAGCAGCCAGAATATTCCTGCGGGAACGTTCCCCCAAACCCTTCCGCTTCTATCCTCTTGACAGTCTGGCTAGGAAAATGCAGCATCACACTCGTATTAAGTATAAATATTTAGGGTCCCCATGGAAGACTCCTCTCTTTCTGTAGGACTGAAAGAGCACTTTGATAAAAATGGACATAACTCCAGTTCCTTGTCTCCCTTTACCCTGATGGAAGTGCTGGACTTTGGGCAGCCCATGTTCCAACTCCCCCTCTTATTCTGGATTATAACATGCCTTTTCTTGCAGTGATTGTGTGGGAACTTTGTCACAAGTTGCTGTTTTATTCTTTCCACGAGTATATGTTAAAACCGTCTCTCTGGCTGTTCCTCCCTCTCCCTCTCCCTCTCCCTCCCTCTCTCTTTGTACTGCAGAAACTCCCTCAATTGTGGCAGAAGGCTGGGAAGGTTTGAATGCCACATGTGAGTATGGGCAGCTGAGTGGGACCATACGGCTTCGTCATTCATTAATTCCTATGCCCATTCATCCCTCTATTTAAACTGCTCTGTAAAGACGGTGGCTACAGATGGTCTTTTGGTACACGCTTTAGCTCAGAGACCCTGGCTCTGACAAAAGGCCTGCAGAGGAAGCAGCTCAGTGTACAAAATATTTTCAGCCATTAGAAAACCGGGTCTCATTTGCCAGTGGCTCCCGGGGTGCGCGCGCAGAACAATCCTAACGTGATGTTTTAAAGGTAGCTGATGGACCGACCTGTCCTGGAGCTTTCCAGGGAAAGCCACCATGGACCCGTGTAAACGTATTCCGTAGCTGCTGGAAATCCAGCGAGTCGCCTGCCGGTCCGTTCTGCACACTAAGAAGTGGAACATCTTATGAGAAGCAGGGCGTTTGGGGTCCAAGTGATGCTTCTGCTGCCGCTTACCCTGAGCATGTGCAGGTGGCATGGGAGCTGCAGCGGTCTGCAGAGCGTGCCACTCACCGTTCTCCGGAATGGGCCGCTTCCATGCGGAAAGGACGTTCACATCCTGAAGCGAACGGCCCAAACCGTGCCTGCAGGAGCTCCACGGATTTCGTGGAAACTTCACGGGGCCCCGACCTGAAGCCTTCGCGCAGAGTCACAGCGGGGTGAGAATGCACTTTGGGGCACGTGGCATTCCAGTTCGCCAACGAGAAATGCGTTTTCTCTGCTGCCCCAAGGGCCATGCTGCCAAATGTCATCACACCGATTCCTGCACGCACGGTCCAAACAGGACGCATTCCTTTCCTCTCAGCAAACCCATTCCTGCCATTTTCATCCTTGCAGAAGCAGGTCTTTGGCAAAGCTAACGAGTCTGAATTGGCACCAAGTTACCCCAGTATTTTGCAGCACAGCCCAGAAGGTGTATGGTGAATGGGCGCGTCTTTGCTCCAGAAATGTTCACCATTTCAGTTCTCAAACTTGCCTTCGCATATGCAAAATGCATACTTGGAAAAATGAACAAGTTTCTCAAAACAGGCCAGTTCCTCGCAACTGCCACTTTCTTAAAATGCGCATTGTGCACGAACTATGCAAATTCTCCAGTGCATGCATTTTAAAGGACTCCTGCTCCCATCCATGGGGGAAATTAGCACACGTTTGAGAACTTTTTGCACAGTTTCCCTATCAGAAAGCTATTTGATTTGTGCAGTTTCCCAGTTCCTGCAAACAAACAGTGAGCAAACAGCCGAGCCGGGCAGAGCGGATGTTTGCAGAATCTTGGCACACTTGAGTTTTGCTCATTCACCCATCCGTGGCCCCGGCTGCGCCGCTCCCTGCTAGCATCGCTTGCGATTTTACCAGGCTCAGCCGGTGCGATTTTCCTGCTTGCTTCTTTTGATGGACAAAAGAACCTTCAAGAAATAATAAGCCACTGCAACTGAGCACAAGCTGAGCAGAAAGGCCGGGAGAACGCAAAGAAGTTGCTTTACCAGGCTGTGGAGAGAGCAGTGCCCATGTTCTTGCAAAACCCTGGTTGGGGGGTGTCTTATTGGCCAGTCCAGTTCCCTGTCTGAGTTAAAGACCTCCTGGGGAGAGCAGAGGGGAGGGAGGCTTGGGTGGTTAGCGATCACTTAAGTCTGACTGAATGGACAGCTGCTCCGCTGGAAGAGTTTTCTATGTCTATTTCTTAAAGCCTTCCGACATTTGTCAAAGGCAAACAAACGATTGCCTTGCTCCTTCTGCGACGAGAGGATGGCGTTGTTGCAGCGAGCTGCACCACTGTGGCCGAATCAGAACGCGGGACGTGGTTCTCGGCCAGCTCATTTCCTTCTGTCCCCAGGAATTGGGATCTTCCCATTTGCGCCATATACATCTGAGCGCGCTGAAGCAAGCAGACAAAACGTGCAGCTTGCTGCTAAGCTAAGGGAGACCCCCCGCTCCCCGATTCTGTCCCGGGTGAGCTGCCTGCTTGGTGGCTCTGGTTCCAGGGCGCCCGCTGAAAGGAGTGCTTGGGCAGAGACACGCTTCCGCCGTGTGGCCCAGCGTCTCGCGGCTGAGTTTCTGCCTGCCGGTGCCTCTGCTCGCAGATGCAGGATGTCCGTGTCTGCCCCTTACTGCTGTGGAACGGCCAGGGTGGAGAGGGCCTGTGCTTGGCTTCTGGGCAGACGCAGGCCGAGCCGCTCTCTGCCCCCCTGAAATGGAAGCAGCGCCTGCCGTCCGCAGGGGGCAACGTGATCCATGCCCTGCCCCAGGCGGCTTGCCTTGCATCTCCTGAGCCCTGCTCTGGGCCAGGAATGCATCCTCAGGGTGGCCTTCAGCCTGCAAAACAGGCTAACGTAAACATCCTTTCCAGCTTCATTCCAGTCAACCAAATGCAAGCGGAGCAGACACCAGGGCTGGGGTTGGAGCGGCCTCCTCCTTGTGGTTTCTCTCTGGGACTTGCGGCATCAGCAGCCCCAGCCCTGCACGCCCGTGCCAAGCAGAGCCTCCAGCCTGTGGCCCAGCCTCTCCCAGCCTCTGCAGCTCTTTGAGCGGTGCCACATGCCTCGACCGGGGGGGCAGGGGGGACTTCGGCAGTGCTGCATGAGCAAGAACGGGAATAAAGCTGCCCCTCATCTTGCAGAAAGACATTGCTTCTAGAGTCGGGGCAGGATTTCCCCCAGTGCTTCCCCGAGCCTGTTTGTAACCTGCATCGCTCTGCGTGTGCTCATCTGTGTACATGCTTGCGTGTGACAAGAGGCATGAGAATGTGGACTCTGTTGGCACTCACAAACCAGACAGATTTGGCACCCTGAATGTGGACACAAGTGAGAGCGTGTTTTCAAAGACATATTTGCAAGCAGCTTGTTTGCTTATTTATTTAGAATTTTTGTATACCGTCCGGCTACTCCTGTGTGGAGCTTGCAATCACGTTCATTTCAATGCTGCACGATTTCCGGCTGCAGCCTACGGGAGAAGTGGCGTGGCTTTGGAAGGATGCCCCCTTTTGCCCAGTTTCCCCCTCTGTGCACATCTGCTCACATGAGGTTTCTGCGGTTGTCCCATTTGTGCAAATGATCAGAGATGGCAAATGGCTGAGGCGGAAGGGAGGAAAGCGACTCCGAAGGACGTTCGGAGAGTCTGAGTGGCCGTGTCGGGGAGCTGGAGCTCAGTGGAGGTCCTCGTCCACCTGGACCCGGGAGCTCCCTCTGAGAGCCCCTACAGAGATGCTGCCAAGCAGGTGGGAGGCAGCGGTGGCGAGGGAAGGGGGCTCCAGCTGGGAGCAGCCGTGCCCCAGAATCCGTCCACATGCATCCACTTGGCACGGCCCGGCGGGACCCACTGAGCTTTCTCAAGAACGCCCATTCCAGCTTTTAGCTGTGTTCTAGATTGGCTTATTTTTACTTTTTGCTTTGTTTTCTTGGGTTGGACTTGAACTTATGCGTTGTTTTTAATACCGGATTTTGCTTTGGCCTCCATGTGGGTATTTTAGGGGAAAAAAGTTTATTACTGAATTTTGTGCGGCTCCTTGGAAACGTCTTTCTAATTGGGTATCTTAGAAATAACGAACTAGCAGTGCTGGGGGAAGGGCTACCTCCCCCTCCCCAGATTGGGGTGCTTCTGGCTGCTACTTGTTAACATCAAAAGAGACAGGAGAGTCATTAAGAGATCTTGGCATCTCATCTAATTAGGCGTTTAATTTAGGATCCTGGAAACCTAGCATTGTGGTAGCAACTGGTGAAGGGGAGCGCTATTTTTTTTGGTCTGGGGGCCCAGAGCTAGAACTGCCCCCATTTTCCATCCATTCACGAATGAAATGCATGCTATGAACCGGGGAGAGACTTCAGGAGGAAAATTCAACATCAGGAGAAGCCGGCTTGGTGACGCGATCTCAGCCTGTTCTCAGAACGCCAGAAAATGAGTTCTGCTTTGGAGGTGAGACTCTTCCTGCAGTCAGTGCGGGAATTATCCAGCCCTGTCTCAAGAAGCCCTCCAGCTTTTTCTTCCAGGTGAAACATTGTCCAGGCGTTCAGGAGGTGGCTCTGGAAAGCTTTCCATGGTTCCGGTCTCTGTGGCAGTCGCAAGGTGAAAGAGGGAGGCAGCTTGGTTTCTGCCAGCAAAGCAACCCTCATGGTTGACTTTATTGTATAGGCGGCGATTTCTGTGCAGTACAAACAGATGAGTTTAAAGTGAGAAAATTCAGTTTAATAAAAAGCCTCATTACCTGATGTGGCAAAACGCACGTGCACCCTTGAAATGCACTTGCTTTTGTTTTTCTTTTAAATCTGGGGCTAAAAGTTTTTTTCTTCAGGGGGGAAGATATCCTTGAATTCCGTGATCTTGTCTTTGCGCATGCTGTGCTTAAATATTAACACCAATTGAGCAAATTGCCTTTTAACTGCTTTTATTTGCTTTCATTAACAGTATAATTTAAAAGCTCTAGGATTTGCATGGAACCTGTTGTGCTGGGTGACGGGGGAGGGGGGGAGGCTGCGTGTTGTGTGTGCACGCGTGTGGCGTTGTGGAATTAATTGTGCCACGCACGGGGCGCGGGGGGGGGGGGGGCTTTTTGCAGGAGGCCGGGGGGGAAGCAGGGCGCTCAGCTTGGGCTCCCCGCGTGCCCGCAGCCGCTCATGCCCTTGAGAGCCCCTGTGAGGCTCACGAGCCTCTGGGTGGCCGAGGGGGAGGACTGGCCAGCCGGCCGGCCACGAAATCTGGGGGAAGCAGCGGTGCCAGGCTGGACAGCCACTGGGCCTGCTTTTGGTCTCCTCCGGCCCTCGCGGGGCCCGGGGGAGGGCACTCCCACGTGCCATCCAGTTGCAGACTGCCTGCTTTGGGTGGGCAGGTCCCAGGCTCAGCTCCCGGCGACTCCTTTGGAAAGGGCAGGTCTGAAACCGCGGAGAGCCACTCACAGGGACTGCCCTGGGCTGGCCCAGCCTCTCCCAACCTGGCACCCTCCGGACGTGCTGGATGGCAGCCCCCGAGCCCAGCTCCACCAGCGAGGCCTCCCCCAAAGATCTTGGTGGT